TTAAAACCAATGTTTGTTTTGCCCATGAAGATGACACTTTAAGAAAAATCTTGTTTACCTAAAGTCACTTCTTGTGATGCTTCTAAAACTGTAACAAAAAAAAAAAACTGTAGTCAAGATTTCTGACGTATTTTCAAGATTTGTATAAAAGTAGTGCTGAAAATGGAGCAGAAAAAGGGATTATTTTGTAAACACTTTGTGCATTGTGTTGATAAGAGATTATATCTTGTAAGAATTAAATAAAGTTTTATTTTCGCCTACTTGAAATTCTTATGTTATAAGAAATATTTATTGCAAGACTACTCTTCTCCACTTTACCCTAAAATAGTAGCCAGTGAGATTAATGAGATTAAGTAAAACTGTCTAGTAGTAATCGGAATCCACAAGTTTAAATGAGGAAATTAGAAAATGGTATTTTAAAATGCCTGATATCAATGAGGACTTTGATATGTTATGAATTTTGAAACTGTAAAATCTCTGGGGGCTGCCTTTTTAATGAGGAATCCATCAAAAACCAGAGGCTGATAACCTTTTAAGACAAGAATCTGTTGCCACAGACACAGGAAGCTGTAGGAGATTTCATTTTTGGACAAGCGCTTTTTTCACTGTGTGCATGCATGTTGCAATGCACTTCTTGTCAGACTCCGTGCTTGCTCCATTTAATCTATGTAATACATTTCTTATCAGATGCAGTATGGCCATGTCTCTGGCTTCAGCTCTGATCTTCATGGCTTGATACATATCATCAAGCCGTCAATATGGCTGCTTCCTGTTTCATTACCACTTACTTAATTTTTTTCTTTATATAGTATTTTAAAAAAATAACTGTTAACAATTTAGTCATGTGTTATGCTGCGAACTCTTGCTTCGTCCAAGCTTGTGTTACATGCCTACAGAAGCGCTTATTTTAAAAGACGAATGGCCATATAAAAGCCTTGACTCATTTAAATCATGGTCATTCCAGAATGTTCATCTTTATAATAGAACATTTGTGCCTACAGTGCTGATTCTTGTATAGCCTCAAAATCAGTGTTCTCGTTAAGAGCTGCCTTCCCCACAAAGAAACCTGCCACCATTTCTGATACAGAAGTCGGTCTCTCTTTCAAAAGAAATTCACTTTGATCACAATTTGGCTAATCCCATTTGACCTGTCTGGTTGGTACTGTGCACATGGAGCAGTAACCACAGCAGAGGATCCGTGGCAGGTTGTTGTATTTACACCCAGTTTTTGCCATATCCTTGAAGAAAGTTTGGGGTAAACCCATCACCATGTGGCAGCCACCATGTTAACATACCATGGAAGAGGATTTATTTTAAACCATGCAGCTTGGGTGTATTTTTGCTGCTGCTACTGCTGTTGGGGTGAATGTGGCATGGCCTCTGTGATTCCTCCACTTCCCATTTTCCCCTCTCTCCCTTCTTCCACTTCTCTCCCTTCGCTGCCTCCATAAAGGACAACACTGAGTCAGAGTCAGACCCTTCTTCTGGCCCAGGAGGCCTGAAAACGAAGCATTCAGCTGCCCTGCCGTGCAACATGCGTTCAGTGCACTGATATAGGAGATCACTGTTCATCTTTTGTCAAGCTCCTGCAGCACCTAATCGGGTTCTGTTGGCACTTTGACACAGAGTGAGGTGATGTCTGGTTAGTGCCAGGCTGATCTGTGGGCTGTTCAGTTTCCCGCATGAAAGCTACACTTGGTTCTGTTTGTTTTTAAGAGGGCCCAGCCTCCTTTCACTCCCCCGCAGCTGCCCCTGTGGCTCCTCTTCATTGCTCTCCAAAGTCTTTGGCTTTCTTCCAATCACTTTTGGCCCTGTTGATGGAAGATCTGAAGCAGCAGGCCCTCTTTGGGACGGTTTCTGTGTCCTCTTGGGAGATGTGCCAACTTATCACTCTTGAAGGGAGGGGAAAGGAGTCAGGGAGCGGTATAGCTCCCACAGCTAAGCCCATTACTGTCTTATTTGACAGAACAATTGCTGTTTTTTCTGGTTTCCTGCATGTCAATAATGTGACTAATAAATCCTGTCTAAACATGACTTGTAGCATAGCGTGAATGGATTTCAAGTGCTTCTCCTGACATGAGCTGGTAGAGTCCCATCTATGTGAGTTCAAAATGCAGCATTTTAAAAAAGAAAACAGGGCTACTAAACAGCCACCTCAGAACCTTTGATCAGCAGTGGTGTTAGCAATTCCACGTGATTCATCCCCGCTGCTGTCTGCTTCATACAGATCCAGAGCTATGAGGAGAAAAGCACAGAAGTGTGTGAAAATGGGCAGATGAGAGTCCCTTCATCCAGACAGGATGGGAACAATCTAGCCGAACAAAATGTGTATTTCAGTAATCTCTTGACACCTCGCCCCCTGCAAAATGATTTAAGTTAACACATGTTAATGGCCAGCACAGCATTTTGAGATTACACCCCCCAACCCCTGGCCTCTATTTCTATCTTCGTTCAGATTCTTGTGAAATCTGCATCTCATCCATCCACATTCAGCATCGATTAACCTGTCAGCTGAGAGGTAGCCCACAATCACTAGAGCAGGAAGCTTTTATGTATTTTCTTTTTTAAAATTGAGGTGCACTGAAATGTCATACATATTGCATGTTCACTCTTCAGTATATATAGTGTACGGTATATCAATCGTCTGCTTTATGCGTGGTTTTAAGCTTACTCATTCCTCTGTGTTGGATCCCTGCTGACAGGCAGACACAGTCTGTTGCAAACCAGCAAGTTCTCAACAGAGGTGCTTTTTCATCTGCTTTTCTATCTCCTTGTTTATAACCATTCATGACCAGGGAACCAGTTCAGTTCAACGAGAAGCAAGCTGATGTTAACACTAGTTTCTGACCTTTTGTCTTCTAAGGGAGACCCCTATTGTTTGAGTGAATACCCTGCCTAAATGGTCAAGAAATCTTTGGTTTTCTGGTGGTTTTAACAGGTTGCCATAGATATGTGTTTTATCGCTAGACTGCTGTAGTTTGCATTTGATTGCCTTTAGAGATTTATGATAACCCATTTCCAAATGAAATGCAGTATTGATTATCTGCAGAGTGCTTGCTAGCCTTTCCATGCTGGATGGAATGATATGATCTTTACTGCTTTTTTATTAGTTCTAATGGCGATGGTAGTTGGGCTTTGGTTTTGGTAGGTCACTGCTGGTTGGACACTAATGTATTTCTCTAAATGTGAAGGGTGGAAATTTTTTGGTAGACTTAGATGAAAACAAGTTCTTTGGAAGCTCATAACACAAGAACTAGGGGTCACCAAATGAAATTAATAGGCAGCAGGTTCAAAACAAACAAAAGGAAGTATTTTTTCATACAACACACAGTCAACCTGTGGAACTCCTTGCCAGAGGATGTTGTGAAGGCCAAGACTATAACAGGGTTCAAAAAAGAACTAGATAAGTTCATGGAGGATAGGTCCATCAATGGCTATTAGCCAGGATGGGCAGGGATGGTGTCTCTAGCCTCTGTTTGCCAGAAGCTGGGAATGGGCGACGGGATGGATCACTTGATGATTCCCTGTTCTGTTCATTCGCTCTGGGGCACCTGGCATTGGCCACTGTCGGAAGACAAGATACTGGGCTAGATGGACCTTTGGTCTGACCCAGTATGGCCAATCTTATGACATGTAACCAGAGGCAAAGTCAGTATAAGAATTCAGGAGCCAGCCCTGTGTTCAGTCCACTAAACAAGGTTGTCTCTTCCAGTGGTCTGATGGCTTCTCCAGAGACCAGCTACTAAAGGGTGCTTATCAACCTCTTTCCCTCTGCTTCAAAGCTAAGTTGGAAGGGCATTTGTACAGCACCTAGCACAATGGGACTCTGATCACTAAATGCTACTATAATACAAATAGTAAGAGGGCTGCAGCAGTGTCTGCAGAGCAGCTCCTTAGTTACTCCACAGCTTGGAAGAAGGATTCCCCTTCCCAGACACATGTCCTGAGCTACTGTACTTGGGTACTTCTGGGTGGCTTTCCCCCAGTAGTATTTTAACAGATCCTAATTTGCCACCCTGGCAAGTCATCCTAGTACAGATTCCCTGATAAATACCAAGGCCCAGGGCCAGTTTCTTTTTTTTTTGGTATAATCTTTGTGTTTTGGGAATCCTCTAAAATGCAATAAATTTGCACCTGGTATTTCACAGTTCTTCAGGGTACCCCCTAAACTGTCCTTTTTCTTGGTGCGTCTCTCAGCATCCCACAAACTCTCCCTTTGGCTTGGCTACAGGCCCGGTCCTGGCCAGTTTACAGACTGAGCGACCACATTTTGCCACCTCAAACGCCCTCTGCAGTTTGAACTGGGTACTGTGTGCTTCACCTTGCGGCCCGCAACAGTTGTGTGTGGTTGCTAGGCACTTTTAAAGCAGCTGCCATGTTCCACCTCAGTGGCAGCTGCATTTCCTTGGCATTTCCTTGTGACTTCTGTGTGCTTGTTGTTGAGCGCTCTGCAAGGAGAGCAGCTAGATGAATAACGTGCTAATATCTGGGCTGCCACACATGACTTCTTTCTTCAAAATATGACAAATGGGATGCCCTAGTATGAGCACTTAAGGCCCAGTCCTGAAACCCCTACTCATGCGTGCAATTTCATGGCCTCCAGTGGGTCTGTTGCAGGACAGAGCTCTTCATAATGGTGGCACGTCAGCACAAACCTTGCTCATAATAAGCACTTGATATGGGCACCCATCCCTGAAAAGTTTGGATGCTGTCTCTGAGACTGTCTGTTCAGGTCACTAGCATAGTGAAGAACCTTTCATCTTAATGTCTTCACAACTGGGTCTGGACAAAGAGCTGGACGGGACCAGTCAGAGAGTACTTGTTGGTTTAAATTTTAGTTGCTGGAGGATGTTTTGCACTAAATGGGACTACCGATTCCCTTCTGTAGACTGCCAGGGCCCTTCCAGGTTCTGGGAATGGAGACCTTTGTATTGTTGCCAAAGGAATAAGGGGGTTTCTTTTTTGAACTTTCACTCACTGAACACCTTCTCTTTCAGCCGAACTGAGCAAACCAGTGTGGGAAGGGATTCCAGGGTCCGCACTGGGGCCACAGGTGGAACCCAGCTATCCTTCTGCTGACTGTGCGCACGTACGGTGATGGCTTTATACATTTCTCTCTCTTTTTAGTGCCCAGCACATTCTGTACGTTCCTTACTCTGAAGTTTAAGAAACAAAGTTTTCATCCATTGTAGCTAAAACTTGAAACGAAGTCTCCTGCAGAACCCCTAATTTTCTGTGTCTGTTCTGAACAATAAATGCTCCTTGTTGGGGATGAAATCGGAACCTTGCTGCCACCTCCCAGCTGATTTTAATTCTCATACATTCTCAGCCTGCTTCATCCCATCTCCCATGGCGTTACGCTAGGGATGAGTATGACCCTAGACGTTTAGGGCCTCAGGGGTACCTGTTTTCTAAGGCTATCAAGCCAGGAAAACATGCAGGGAAACAGGTTCTTAAGGCCTCTCTGCTGAGACGACCAGTTAAGAGCCCAGCCTAGCTCCCAGGAAAGTAAATGAGAAGAATCACTTTATGCTGGCTCCGTCTGTTTATGTCTGTCGTCTAGGAACTGGACTGAGATCACCAGCTAACATTGCTGTTGAGAGGCCTTCCGATGTTGGCAGTGTTTGGTCGCTGCTGACCTGGGCTGGATTAGAGAAGGACATGTGCATGACAGTGGGGACCGGGGATGTTTCTGTTTTAACTTTTTTTTTTTCTTTTTCTTTTTCCCTTTGTGCTTTGGCACCTGTGGTGACAGCAGAAGCAGCAGCGCTGGAAACCGGAATCCTGTGTCCTGGAGCAGAGCCAGCAGCAGCTGCTGGCAGTAACAGGAGCTTTCCCACACTTGACACCTTCACTGCCCTCATCCTCCTATGGGAAAGGAAAATGTAACCACCGACCATGTGAGTGAACCCAGGACTGGAAACAGCATCTCTGCTTGGCATTTGCAGGCTGAGTTTCTCAGTCTTGTACGTACAAACAAGCATTACTGTAAGTTCTCTTGGGCAGGTCTCTTTGTCCAGTGTTTGTACAGCACCTAGCACAGTACCTAGTCCTGGTCTCTGGCTGAGGCTCCCAGGCACTACTGCAATATAAAGAATGACTACATAACCCACTTCCTTAAACTACTCCATGGGCTCCTGCTTCATTTCAGGATCCTGTCTGAAATGCCCCCTCCTTGTTCTTCCATCCCTCCATAGATTTGTTCCTGTCTCCATCTCTTTCTCTCTCTCTCTCTCCCCATCCTTGTTCCCTCTGCTTATCCAGGCAGCCCTTTCCTTTCTGCCACTGACATCATCTCACCCTGTTGGCAAAGGAGCCTTTGCTTTGCAGCTCATGGGAGAGCCTTCAGCTATCTCTCCAACTTGCCGATGGACCATCTCCTTTCAAATCTCATCTAAAATTCCCTTTGTAGTAAATGGTAGAGTTGACTGGGTTATCCTAAGTATCATGGGATGGAGCTAGGCTCCACGCTTCCCTTACTTTTAGTCAGTCTCCCTGCTAACTCCTGTGATGCAGTTGACTAAAGCAGCCAGTTCCCAGTCTGCAGTCCTGTGAGGAGGCTTCATGTTGTTGCACTGAGAGGTCCTTTTACAAAACCGTTGCTCCCTTTCCTCGGCCTCTGAGTGTGTCTCTCCTCCTTGCTGTGTGTCTGCTTCACAAACAGGCCATGTGCTACAGAGTACGTAGCACTATTTAAAAATGTGAATTTATATGTGCAACGTGCGCTTGGCTTGAAACCCACCCAGTGCAGAGAGCATGCACAAGACTCCATCTACCACCTAGTCCCCACATCAAGATTTTAAGTGGGGCTTAATTGGTGCATAGAGTGTCACGCAGGCCCTCTGCACTTGGGTGAATTTAAGTTATGTCGACATACTGCCACCGCAGTAATGAAATCGCTTTTGCATGTCCACACCGCACTTCTTGTGTCAGCGATGCACATCCTCACCAGGAGCGCTTGCATCGATTTAACTGTCAGCGTGGGGCCCTGTGGAATGGCTTCTGAAAGGCAGCACCAATTGATGTAAGCAACGCAGTGTCTACAATGACACTGCAGGGACCTAATGGCATCCACCTATGTGCTACGCCTCTTGCGGAGATGGAGTTAGTAAGTCGGTTAGTTAGTGGGCGAGTTACATCAGTGGGAGCGACATTTTAGTGTAGACACTTGCAGAGTTAAGTCGACGTAAGCTGTGCACACGCAGGATCATAGCACTGCCCTGTCTTACAGGGGTGGGGAGGATGAAGACATTAGTGATTATGATGCACTCAGATACTACGATAATGGGAGGCCATATGAGTACCTAGGATGGAAAGGTTCTTGGCTTGGTCCCGCAATGGAGTAGATTGCGCTTCCGAGTTCCAACGTTGCGATTTATGACGCAGTTGTAAGGAACCAAATGTGTCATAAATCCAAGAACTGCCGGCACTTTTATTCTCCCCGTTTCTAGCAAGTGTATAGAACTATCAGGGTAACAGATCATCAGGCTCAATAGACACTCCAAAGTAGTCACCATTTGTGAAACAATAATAAAATACAATTACTCAAAGCCAGACACAAAGGGAGCAAAAGGAAAACATTGTTGCGGAGCTAATCTGAGATATTTTGAACTGTAAACTCTTCCCAGTCACTGCTTTTCACCCATCCCTTGAATTTAAATTGCTGGACCCTGTACTTCAATCCCAACCAGAAACCTGTCTCCGGCTTCCTGCTTAGTTGGTTCTTTGAATTCTAGTAAATGAAGCCTGGATTTTTACCTAAACAATGAAAATCTAGAGGAATTGCCTCCATTTTAATAGAACAAAGGAGAAAGGAGGGGGAAAGGGAGCGTTTTGTTTGGGAAACCAGATTTAGTTTAGAATTAGTTCTTAGCACAGGCTTCTCTGGAGATTTCTAATATTTCCTGATTTCTGCCTGGGCTGGCACTATTGCAATATTTTGGCTCTATCCCTTACTGCTCTGCTCCAGAGCACAAAGATGGGGCAAAAAGAAAAGGAGGACTTGTGGCACCTTAGAAACTAACCAATTTATTTGGCATAAGCTTTCGTGAGCTACAGCTCACTTCATCGGATGCATGCTGTGGAAAGTGTAGAAGATCTTTTTATACACACAAAGCATGAAAAAATGGGTGTTTACCACTACAAAAGGTTTTCTCTCCCCCCACCCCACTCTCCTGCTGATAATAGCTTATCTAAAGTGATCACCCCCCTTACAATGTGTATGATAATCAAGTTGGGCCATTTCCAGCACAAATCCAAATCCAAATCTTCTACACGTTCCACAGTATGCATCTGATGAAGTGAGCTGTAGCTCATGAAAGCTTATGCTCAAATAAATTGGTTAGTCTCTAAGAGGCCACATTTCAGAGTAACAGCCGTGTTAGTCTGTATTCGCAAAAAGAAAAGGAGTACTTGTGGCACCTTAGAGACTAACCAATTTATTTGAGCATGAGCTTTCGTGAGCTACAGCTCACTTCATCAGATGCATACCGTGGAAACTGCAGCAGACTTTATATATACACAGAGAATATGAAACAACACGGCTGTTACTCTGAAACCAGAGATGGAGCAGCAGCCAGCCAAGGCTAGCAGTTTACTTACCAGCCTCATCCCCCCGCCCTTAGGAGACGTTTCTTCTGGATTTGACAACAGCTGTTTCTAGGAACTGAGCTAAAGGTTAATGCGTGAACAGCCCTGGCAGTGATTTATGTTCTCAGCTGGTGTTACAATACATGTGGGCTCTTACAAAACTGTGTGACTGTACACCTCTCTGATGTAGGCCCCTGGTTCTGACTCAGCAATACATGCAACCAGAAGGATGTCCAACCATGCCGACTGGCCTAGTAGATACTGCGCACAGCCAACAATAGCCTAAGAGCCAAATTCCAACCTCAGTTATGCTAGTGTAAACCCAGAGAGACCTCAATGGTGACACTCTGGATTTCCACCCAGAAGTTAGATTTCACTCCTCCAAATGGCTGCTGCATCTCTTCCAGGGAAGGAAGGAAGGATGGACGGATGGATGGACTGGTGTGTGCTGCTGGCTCCCTTGTTGTGTAATAATGGCTCAGCATGAACCGCACCAGTGAGAGATCAGCCCATTCCAGTAGGTGGGCGTGTTCACAGCACTGCCAGTTTCTCTGCAGCTGCTGTGTCTGCCGTGGTGGCTGCATCCCTCCATGGCTTCTCCAGCAAGGGAGAAGTGAATGGAAGCCCCAGGGCTGGACAGAGGCAGCAGCTGGAAGGCACCTGGCCTTCAAGCTGAATTAGGGCAATGCCTATGTTTTTTAAATAATTTCCTGTAGGGTGGCAGATATTTACCAGTGGAGACAGTCCTAAAGTCAGTGGGCGCTTTTACATCCTAACTGCTTAGGCATGAGTCGCCGTACGTGGATTTCGGCAAGGCTGGAATGAGTTCAAACATTAAGGGTCACTTTTAGTCCCCCTGACCCATGTTAATTGCCTTGGCAGAACTCGTTACACAGGTGACTCTGTGTAGCTTCCGCTCACCATTTTGATCTGGTTGGATAAGATCAGAGTGAATAGCCTAGAAAACCCCAGGGTGTGTAAAGAAGCCACGGTGAGACATCTCGCCCCCCAGGAAATCTGGCTGATGCATCACAAGCTGTCACCAGCATTGTCCGGCTTCACGTTCCTTAGATTTAGAGCTGATCTGAAGCGGCGCTGGAAGCTGTTCATCTAACACCACCACGGAAGTGTTCATTACTTTACACTCCCCATTTGGAAATGTCAGCGGCTGAAGCTAATGATTATAGATCCACAGACCTACTCATCATTCAGTTTGCATCACATTCGTGGAGGTACCAGCTGCCCAGCCTCTCTTTGCACACTCATCTTCTGCAGCATGGCTGCTTTTGTTTCCTGGCCACCTCCTTCAGAAGGCTACTCGGCCAGGGGTGTAGGCGGGAGCTGGGTAATAAGTCCTCCTCTGTGGTCCCATGTTTTGATTAGGCTCATTGCCAAGACTGCAGTAGGAAAGGAGTGAGTCACGCTGCAGATGTTTAAAGATTTATACCTCTACAGCAACTCACCCCTCTGGAAGAAAAGGTAGTTACAGCAGCACCAGCAGCAAGGTTAGAAACAGAAGCAGCAAAAAGCTGCCCATTTCCTGAGACACGTCTGCGTGTTTGCCTCACCCCGAGGCCACCAGCTCGCACTGCACCTCTGGGTGGTTATTTCTTTGCAAGTCGCTTTCCCTTTGGAAGGTGATACTGGCTGGTGCACAGCATACATCTGGGCTGCCCCATTTCATGGCTGTGGGACTCCACTTGCTTCATTTACACAACGATCAGCCAGTTAGTGGTGGCAGGGTTCCACTGATTTCACAGCACCCAGGGGACGGAAGAGGCTCATCAATTCCTAGGCCAGAAGGGACCACTGTGATCATCTTGTCTGAGCTCCTGTTTAGCACAGGCCAGAGAACTTCTCCAAAATAATGCTCAGAGCATCTCTCCTAGAAAAACATCCCCTCTTGATTTAAAAATTGCCAGCAATGGAGAATCCACCACGACCCTGGGTAAACTGTTTCAATGGTTAATTACCCTTGCTGTTAAAAATGGACACCTTACTTCCAGTCTGAATTTCCAGCCATTGGATTATGTTAGGCCTTTCTCGGCTAGATTCAAGAGCCCATTAGTATTAAATATTTGTTCCCTATGTGGTAGTGGTGGCAGCAACACTGGAAGCAAGAACCACGTGGTTCCGTTGGAGACCTGGGTGGTCGCCAGCCGTGCTGAGAAGAGCAGGACTCCATAAGGTGTTGCGCTATTCTGCACGCATGGAGGCCTTTTTACTTTTTTAATTAAGAAAATACAAAGGCTGAGTTTTGCTACTGGCGATGCAGCAGGCTTTGTTTTCACTCTCCAAACACAGACACCCA